ATATTTATACCCCAACACATGGAAGATTTCAACATGATGGTGAGTCGTTTAAACACGATACCAATAGCAAAGCAGACAGCAGTACTTTTAATTGCTATGTCAATAACTGTGTATAGTTCATTAGACGGTTGGTAAAAAAAAAAACAACACTCATACAATATGTTTTAAACTGCAATAAAGATCTTAAAAGTAAGATGTATTTGAGTATTTTATTTTTTACAATACGACTTGGAGTTATGGGTAATCCAGAGTGTACATTAAAACCATAACCATTACGTACAATGTGCTAGCGAGGATGGATACCAAAAAGAGGTACTTAAGCAGATTCCAGAAAAGGAAAAAGGAAAGAAGAGCTGCTGGAATAACGGAAAAAAACTTCCCAAAATAAACATGTTCTTTCAAAGAACCAAAGAGGGAGAGGTGGACTTTGCTGCTACAGTGAGTACAGATTGCGACAAGGAGAAGAATGGAGAGAGCGTGGGTGAGGAGGGCAGCTGTGAAACTCAAGGTAGCCCCATAAGACTCATTTTACAGCAGTATATACTAAAGTATATCCTTGTACACTGAAGGTGAAGAATGATGAAATGATGAAGTGTGTATGTATGGGCACATTTCGGGTCGGCTGGCTACGGTGGCGGCAGCAGTGGTAGGGGTTGTGTGGTAAGTCATATGGTACCCACACAGATAATGTTGCTTACAGGTCTATGGTTGTGTCGTTACGCCATTGGGTGACAGTGATGAAGTCCATACTTTAATTGGACAGGAAAAATATAATGTTTTGAGATAAATGCATATTCTTTTATTTCACATAAAGCACTGCAATGCAGAACAAACAGAGCTTATATGAAAGTCTGAAGTGCAGTGGACTACTTTGCATTGCTACAATGATTAAAAGAGCATAAAAACGCATAGAAGTTGAACATCAAAAATCTTTAGATGTGGTGTGTTTGTGTTGATTGAGCAGAAGAATTGACTTGCAGCTTAGTGTACTTAGTGACGGCCTTGGTGCCCTCAGAAACTATATGCTTGGCCAGCTCACCAGGGCTTTCCCTGGAGGTGTTGGTGGAGCACTCGATGGGCAGCCTTGTGTGGGCTAGATTCAAAGATGTCATTGTCAAAGTAGTTTAAGTCCCTTTTTTAAAACACCAAGGCTTCTGAGAAGCTTAAAGCTTTTTAAGCCAGTGTAATTTTTCACTAAACATTTACCTTAGTAAGTTCACTTTCCTGGGCCTCGGTTCCAAAACAGACTTAGTACTTTGCTCTGCTTGTACTACTTCTGGCTTCTTGTTAAGTCTCAGATTTTTTCAGTTTGAACTCATCCTCATGGAGCAGAAGAGGAGGCTTTACTATTGGTGGACGCAGGATGAAGTCCAGTATTTTTATGAGGGAAGATCTCAGCAAGGACAATGTTGAGTCAGTGGCGTCTAACAACAGAAAGCTACCAAAATTGGAGCAAGACTGTCTGCTTAAGACAAGCTATAGAGGCTTAAACAGAAATACAAGAGGCTGGAAGACCAGCTTATAACAGCGGGTCAAACCACAGAAAAAACGATGGTTTACCAGCTGGATGCGATTCTGGGGCACAGGCGTACTTGTTCATTAATACAACAACAGACTTGATGAAGTTGTTACAAGAGGCTATGAGCCAAGAGAAGTGCAAAGAAACAAAATGCAATCAGTCCCCTTTTATTAAATGTTCTAATAGAATCAAAATAGCTTACAACCAAAATAGGAGGATTCATGTGCATTTTGTGCAGAGAAAATGGTGTCTGCATCCACAGCTACTTACACTGTGTCCATGATTGACCTGTGGTCTTTGTGTTGGTTTAGTTTTTTTCTATATAGGTATCCAAGCGTGGTGCTCATGAACTGACTTGGCTCACCAGCCCCAAGCAGAACTGGTTCTTTTTCTGCTTCTGCTACACATTGAGGTAAGTCTACTCATTATTGTAATTATGTAACAACTCCGCAGTAACAATTTACATTTCGGCAGTTCAAAAGGAGTATGGGATAACACTTTCACTTTTGCATTTCAGGATATGAATGAGGCATTTAAGGACAACCTACAGGCATGGCAGCAGAGATGAGATGGCATAGTGGAGCTGCTCTTAGCCAGTCAAAAAAAAAAATAGGTTGAACTAACCCTGGAGGGAACTCCTCAGATTACGGAAAGACGGAAAAGATATACAGGTGCTGGTCATAAAATTAGAATATCATGAAAAAGTAGATTGATTTCAGTAATTCCATTTAAAAAGTGAAACTTGTATATTATATTCATACATTACATACAAACTCATATATTTCAGATGTTTATTTTGTTTAATTTTGATGATTACAAATGACAACAAATGAAAATCTCAAATTCATCATATCAGAAAATTAGAATATTACTGAAGACCAATAAAAACAAAGGATTTATAGAAATGTTGGCCAACTGAAAAGTATGAACATGAAAAGTATGAGCATGTACAGCACTCAGTATTTAGTTGGGCCTCCTTTGGCCTGTATTACTGCAGCAATGCGGCGTGGCATGGAGTCGATCAGTCTGTGGCACTGCTCAGGTGTTATGATAGCCCAGGTTGCTCTAATAGTGGCTTTTAGCTCTTCTGAATTGTTGGGTCTGGTGTATTGCATCTTCTTCTTCACAATACCCCATAGATTTTCTATGGGGTTAAGGTCAGGAGAGTTTGCTGGCCAATTAAGAACAGGGATACCATGGTCCTTCAACCAGGTACTGGTAGCTTTGGCACTGTGTGCAGGTGCCAAGTCCTGTTGGAAAATGAAATCTGCATCTCCAAAAAGTTGGTCAGCTGCAGGAAGCATGAAGTGCTCTAAAACTTCCTGGTATGTGGCTGCGTTGACCCTGGACCTCAGAAAACACAATGGACCAACACCAGCAGATGACATGGCACCCCAAACCATCACTGACTGTGGAAACTTTACACTGGACTTCAAGCAACGTGGATGAAGTGCCTCTCTTCTTTTCCTCCAGACTCTGGGACCTTGATTTCCAAAGGAAATGCAAAATTTACTTTCATCAGAGAACATGACTTTGGACCACTCACCAGCAGTCCAGTCCTGTTTCTCTTTAGCCCAGGCAAGACGCTTCTGACGCTGTCTGTGGTTCAAGAGTGGCTTGACACAAGGAATGCGACAGCAGAAACCCATGTCTTTCATACGTCTGTGTGTGGTGGTTCTTGAAGCACTCACTCCAGCTGCAGTCCACTCTTTGTGAATCTCCCCCACATTTTTGAATGGGTTTTGTTTCACAATCCTCTCCAGGGTGCGGTTATCTCTCTTGCTTGTACACTTTTTTCGACCACATCTTTTCCTTCCCTTCGCCTCTCTATTAATGTGCTTGGACACTGAGCTCTGTGAACAGCCAGCCTCTTTAGCGATGACCTTTTGTGTCTTGCCCTCCTTGTGCAAGGTGTCGATGGTCGTCTTTTGGACAACTGTCAAGTCAGCAGTCTTCCCCATGATTGTGTAGCCTATAGAACTAGACTGAAAGACCATTTAAAGGCTTTTGCAGGTGGTTTGAGTTAATTAGCTGATTAGAGTGTGGCACCAGGGGCCATCAATTTTGAACCTTTTCACAATATTCTAATTTTCTGATATGATGAATTTGAGATTTTCATTTGTTGTCATTTGTAATCATCAAAATTAAACAAAATAAACATCTGAAATATATGAGTTTGTATGTAATGTATGAATATAATATACAAGTTTCACTTTTTAAATGGAATTACTGAAATCAATCGACTTTTTCATGATATTCTAATTTTATGACCAGCACCTGTATATGAAACACTTTCTTTCTATCATAACTAATATTCTGAAACTTGAAACTAACACAACTAGAAAACAGTCAGAATAATTATTGGAAGGTTGAAGAGTGGAAAATGTTTCACTTTCATAAACACTAATGCTAAGCTTAAGGTCCAATGTGTGTCAAGAGCGTTTTTGATGTAAAGTGTGTACAGATGCATCTGATGGTTGAGATGGCCTTGTGTTCAATGGCTGAGTGGCATTGCAAGGTTATATTTGCTCTGATAAGACCTAAAAAAAGTAGTTTTAATTTTTTGAACTGAATGCACTGTCTGTGCATTCAGTTCATCAAGAATATGATCCTGCCTAAAAATATTATTTAGCTGTCAGAGCCGCTCATTCCCTATGTAGGCTACTGGCGAGAAGCCCTCACTGGGAATGCCCAGCAACAGCTGCCTCAAGCTGCTGCCTCCTGGGAATTTTCTGCAACTGTTCATAGTGGCTGGTAGAGGTAGGAGGCTTGATCCTAAGATTGATACTATCGATACCAGCGCTGGTATTGATATTGAATAATACTCATTTAACAAGATCAATACTTTTATTCTCTCCCAAACAAACTTACTGCAGCAGATTCACCAGTCTCCCCGTCTGTGTCACAGCACTTTGCTGCTCCCCCCTCCCCTCTCATTACATGCTCAGCACGCAGGCTCAGCTTGGCCCGCCCACTCAGCTCTCAAATCGACACACAAACAACCACGTTGCTGCCCGTCAGACTCGGAGAGAGAGAGACTGCCGGAATAGAAAAATATGGAGAAGATGGAAAGAAGTGCCGTTTGGCTTTATTTTAAAACCATAAGTGAAACAACCACAAGCCGTATGGTTTATAAAAAGCGGATTAAATGCAGTGGGAAACACAACAAGTTTATATAAACAAAGGATAAACCATGAGCAAGAAAACCTCGAGCGACAAAAACAGAGAGAGGAGTCGAACCTTTCCTCATTGCTCCGACAGACCCTCGACCCTCAAACAGACGACACTTGCAGCGGCATTTCAGACCATCCAGGTAGATAAGAGTGATTACATTCAGCAGATCTTCATATTGACTTTCAAACTAGATATTACATATCATGTTATCGGAGCCCACTCTTAAAGTGTAAGTAAGACCTTGAAAGGAGCCAGTACATTTATCCCATTAAAACATGTTGTCTAAGTGGGCTAACATAATCTAATCCTTTATTTTTCCCAGGACATGTATAGAATTAAAGCAAAAGGCAAGTGCACACAATACAACCAATATTACAGACCGACCGAAAGACATAATATAAGAGGTGAATTAAGAAAAAAAAAAAAAAACCACCATGAACATTATTAATATTATCATTATTCAATTGTAATGATAAAATAAAAATCACCAAAACACAGAAAGGTCAAAGTTTCATGATACAGCAAGCTTAAATGTAAAAACTATTGTTATCATATAGATATCTGAAATACTGCCCCTGTTTTTACTTAGTAACATATTGATTGGAAACTCCCAGTGTCTACTTCTCTGGCCTCCTCTTGTGGCCAGAAGTAGATTTTTTTTAGGTATGTATTGCAAACTGCCAGGCACCAGAATAATAAAAGCAGACATACCTTGTTAGCAGATTTTAACATTTTAATTTCAGCATTAATAACCTGTTTCAGTGGATTGATCATAGCAATTACTTTTTTTGTACATGGGAACACAATCCTCCTTGCCTTTTATGTAAACCTAATAGAGTTCTACCCCTTTTATGGTTTTATGTTTACAGCTCTAAATGAGCAGTGCTGTTTTCCTCTCCCTGCCAGCTTCTAGGCACTGCTTCAGCTGCTCAAATGCTTCTAGATGGGTTGCTTCGGCTGCCCGTAATGCGTCGCAGGACCTTTGGATGCATATTGGTGCACATCAATCATAGACTTCGCATGTAATATGACTGCTACTGCTACTCAAATTGCATTCTGTGTGAATGTAGCATAAGTTTTTTATCGATGATCTTTTATTTAAATGACAGCCTACACCAGTTCACTATGCATTCACAAAGTATGTTTGTAAAATGACAGAAGGAAGAATAAAGACAGACAATAATGCATTTTGGAAAATAATAGAGGATCTAAGATATTTGATATTGATGCCATACTCTGAAGCGTGACAGACAGACAGACATATCCACGATAACCATAAGTTACATTAATTAGGTGTTTCATCAAAATATTTGCACAATGCCCAATTTTAAAATCCATTATATCAGATGAGATCTGGGCTGCTTTCAGTCCCACAAGCAGTACTAAACATTGTACAGAAACTCTATGACATCTTCAATTAAATTTAAAGGTATTTAATTGAGCTTCCTCTGGGAAGATGACAGGTCCCCTGATGTTAAAGCCAAGATAACGCACTAGGAACTCTTTTTCTTGACTCTGCTGCATTGTTGAAGTCTCATTTTGAATTGGCAGAAGTATATTTTGAGTTTCTTTCAGCTCCCACACCTTCCCACTGCTCCAAATATCATTGATCATCCTTCTTTTTGTTTTGTTTCTATTTGAGTCACTTCGGACATTATCAAGCTGAGTTTCTACATGCCCTTCAACAATTTCATCCAGTTTAGACTTATGGATCCATCTGCTAAGTCCAGAGCCCTTTCCTAGAAAAAACAGCGGCAACAGATAACGACCACGGAGGTACTTGCCATAGACTCCATCATAGGCTTTTTCGATTGAGCTGATATATTGTTCCAGGTCAGGATCAAATTTGAGACCAAGAGATGGCTTTACAGATTCCTCTCGTGTATCTTCTTCATTAATGTCCACTTCCTTTGAAGTATGGTCTTGAAGCTGATGTGTGTCTTTTTCTGCTTCTTCTAACTTGTCATTGCTGTTTTCTTTACCTGTAGCAATGTTTTCCTCTGGCCAAAACAGCAGCAGGACCAAGAGATAAAACTCTGGGCCTCTACCATGCATCCCGCCTCGGAGGAATCCCTCAAGTATTGACTGGAGCTCTCTAACCTGGGGGAGTGAAGGAGAGTGAGGAACCTTGTTGCTCAAGATGATGTTTGAAAGGATGTATCTCTCTGCCACTTTCACATCATCTTTGTTTCTCTCATAGATGGTCTTTAATTCATCTCGTATTCTCTTTAAATCTGACTCTGTTTTCTCATTAACTGCATCCTTGAAAGCTCGTTTTTCCTTTGACACAAAGAGGCCATGATTCAAACAGTCCAAAAGAGCCGGAAAGCTGGTGGAATCAGAGGCATGTTTTGCTGTGTATGCTTCATAGCAAAGGGCAACATCTTTCCAGAAGTAGTCAGGCTCTGCAGTTAGCCTGTCTATCATGGAGTAGCTTAGATACCATTCAAAAAACTCAAACTTTAATTCCACCTCAAACTGCTTGGTGTTTCTGAAAGCATCAAGATGTTTGCATTTCTCAGCGAGTATCTTGGCGACTTGAATCAAGCCAAAATGTCCTCGGTTGTTGAACCAATCTGAAAAGTTCACAGAACCATAATATTCAATCCACCCACGATCTAGTTCTTTCTCGGCTTTTTCCTCTACGTCTTTGAAAGCTTTAAAGGCTTCTTCTGCCATTTCAGTCACCTCATTCGTTTTTTTAGCTTTTCTCAACAAACGGTTCTTATACACCTGTCCAAGGGTGTCAGCAGCATAGGAGTTGTTTGGAGATCTTTTGATGGCTTCTTTAGCCCATCCTTCAGCTTTTTTATAGTTGGGGTACTTTCCACCTATGTAATACAAGCGAGCAACTGTTTGGGGAAAGATGTGCTTGTCTTTGAATTTGTTAGAAGCCTTTTTAAGAACACCAAGAGTTCGAGCAAATTTCTCTTTTTCTATTATATCTTTAATTAGCAGTGAAAACTTTTCCAAGCCTTTCTGGCCTATTATTCTCTCTGTGAGCAAATCTTTGATAAATCGGACAGTGCTTTGTTTAACTCCTTCCCCACAAAGCATAAATATGCAGTCTTTTGCTATCTGACTCCGGTATACGTTTAGGTAAGCTAGTAGCTTCACAGATCTCATAGCAATGTCTGGATTGATTAGACAAACCCTTGGACCAGATACACTGATGTACGCAGAAAAAGGCTCCATTCTGACCTTGAAGGGAGGACCTCCATGAATGGGATCAGGTGGTCCAAGAATCTTTTGACACTCCTCCATGATCAGGTAGGAATCTGGTACGTAAGCATTCAGCAGTGCCAACATTGAGAACAATTTTGTATTGGTGGACCCTGGGTTGGTTCTTACATAACGAGAAATGAGATAAGATATTAGAGGATGTAATTTCTCCAGATCAGGGTCAGAGATAACATCTTCTAAGTCACTTTCCATAGTAGCCATGTTAAACCGAAGGTTGTATTCTTTTGTTTCACTTGATTTTAACTTTAAAGAGGCTGTTTCATTGACGTTTGTAGTCCTGCAAAAAAAAAAAAAAAAAGTAGATCAGTGTGCAGTATTAAAACTTGATAAAATACAAGTTTCATAGAAATTTTGGAGCTGCATATAGAAAAGAAGTAAAACATATATTTAGTATGGTCTAACATTAAAAAGAAACGTTTAAATTTCCAGCTAGATGAATGGACCCTGTGCCATTTAAGATTGTTTTATATGTGGATCTAAAATACAACATTAGCAATTGGTGGATTTTTTTTATGCTAAGATCATAGCTTACTTTGATATTCCCGGTCTTGTTTTGCAAAAGTAAAGATATCCAACAACCTGTGTATACTAAAAGGCCAGGTTCTTAAATGAGAGACCTTATTTTTCAAAGGAATAGCCATACAGTATTCTAAAATGAAAATAGTATGATTCACTTGCTTCATATTGTGCATGAGTATGTTTAGGAACGTAATATATAATTTCTACACAAGAGCTCTACATTCTGATCAGTAAAGCTCAGTTTTGTTCTTTATTGATTCATAGAAATGACAAAGTTTCTAATTTATTCAGGCATTCATCTCTACTTTCTCCGAATTACAGGATCCATCCCTTGTCCTTGGTGATAACAGTCGGCTGCAATATGTTTGAGTGTACTATGAAGTATTGAAGATAGATAGATAGATAGATAGATAGATAGATAGATAGATAGATAGATAGATAGATAGATAGATAGATAGATAGATAGATAGATAGATACACAGATACATAGATACATAGATAGATGAAAAGACTTACAAGATGAAAAATCAGACACGCTTTCCTCGATTGTTCATCCACTCTATAAACATGAGATATGATGTCCAACCTAATATATAAAAGCAAACTTATGGTCAAACTTATTGTCAAGTAAAGTCTAACATTTGCCTACTACAGATGTTAAAATGTGTAGGCAATCAGGGTACTGTTTTTAAGGGGTAACCTTAAAAAATAATTTGTTAAAATATCTGTATATTACATTTTATATTATAATTAGTGCTGTCAATCGATTAAATTTTTTTAATCTCGATTAATCGCATCAATGCCTAAGTTAACTCGCGATTAATCGCATTTTAATCACACATTTTTTTTCTGATTGAAAATCATTTAAATACTCTCGATGACATACAAAAAATACATACAGGCTAGGTTTGTGCCAATGTTCTTTTTTTTTAAATGAAAACAGGTCACAGATACTGATTTATGCCATAGAAACATTATGGCAAGAAGATGGGGAGGCATGTAGCAAAAAATAACAAATATGTAGCCAAAAAAAGGGCCCTGAAAACAGGCTGATGTAAAAGACAGTCTTTACAGTCAATACAGTCTTTTGAACAAAGACAAGCATTTTACCCTACTGCTATAAAATGTAGTACAGTTAACATTAGATGTTAATTAACCAAGGTAATAATGAACAATTTTCAATCAATACATCAAAATCAATAGACCGACATCACTAGATGGAGGTAGTCTATGCTCTAGAAAGTTAGTTTTCAGCCTCTTAACAAAAATGAGAACACACACACACCCACCCACCCACACACACACACACGATACCGACCTGTGGCGTACACAGACAGCAAGAGTGCCGTAGCAGATTCCATTTCACCTCAGTAATCTGTTTTCTCAGCGTATTTCAGGTTGCTACTAGCTACCAGACACTCAACTTGTTTGTTGGTGGTGGGGCTTAAAGAAAAGGCACTAGCGTCACCCAGTGTATGAGCGTCTTTTTTCCTTGAGGAGCTCCGCTCTCGAAGCCTATGAGAAATGCATACACTGGGGGAAAATAGCCCCGCCTTCTCGCAGGCTGCAGCGGGATGTACTTGGAAAATTGTACCATAAAACCACATAGCGTTAATCTCACGTTAAAAAAAATTATCGCCGTTAAAATGGCCTCGCGTTAACGCGTTAATAACGCGATAATTTTGACAGCACTAATTATAATATATAAGATTTGCAATATCTATCCCTTAAAAGTACATGTTTATACTAACATTTGTTTGTTCTTAAAGGTGCTGAAAAGACAAAACATTTTTCTGATATAATATTTAATAATTATAATAATAACAATAATCCTAGTTAAGAAGTAAATTTCCAGATAAAGATAACTTCCTTCCCTAAACAGAAACAAATGACAACTCTTACCTGACTGAGTTGCAGCAGGTCTGGATGTGATCAAACAGTTGAAAAATATTATTTATGATCTGCTTCAAACACACCCCTCCACATGCTTTGAATTCATCTGCCTTCATTTTGACGGGTGTTTCGTGTTCCGTAACATTCCTTCTTTTCTTCTTTTCGTTTGACTCAAACGTGCTGCTGTTATTAATAGCTCAATCTTGAAAGAGAACATGAAAACTGATAAGTTGTGTTTCCTCTCAAAAGACAGTTCTTGTTTCCTTTTTAAAGTAAGGTTTCGGTTTACAGACGTGCAATCTTAGATTCAAAATCATCTTTGTTCAAACAAAGAAATAGAGAACTAATGAGTTGTGGGTTTTCCAAATGGAATATTTGTCAGTAAAAGTCGAAGTTGAGTCCATGCTCATAGTCGAACAGTGCCATTTCTGAAGGTGCTGTTTGACCTCCTTTCTTGATTAGTGTCTAAACTCTAAAACAGAGATATCAAACTCAAGTCCTCAAGGGCTGGTATCTTGCATCATTAAGGTTACTTTCACACTGTAGGCCCTAATCCTCAATTACGATTTTTTTGTGTGTAAATTCTGATTGTTTTGCATTATCGCTCACATTTCCAAATATATGCACTTGCATGTGATCTCCTGTGTGAACTGCTTTCATACAACTTAACTGTCCCGCATGCTCACTAGATAGCAAGAGATCGAGCTCTGTGTTTACAGAGGAAAACATGGATGATAGTCCTGGAACGCATCTTGCATCATCTTATTTCTTTTCCAACCAGAGCCAGCATGGTAACAAAACAGTATTTTCAAGAAGATTAAAAAAAGATTTCTCTCCACATCATTTTATTGTTGTTTTTCTTCCTGCTTCTGTATTGCAAGATGCAGAATAGTAAATGTTGTTGAGTATTAATGACGTTCAGGTCAGATAAATGTAACCAGACCGTTCAGTCACAGGTCGCATTTGAAAAGATCAAATATATATCGGATTAATGCTACGCTCAGACTGCAATTGCCGAAAGGAGCAAAAAAGTACCTGCTCTTTCATTTTTCATGCTTTTACACATTAAAATCAGACACGTGTCAAAAGCAGCATTGATGCTCCTAAAGCGCATCCAGTAACGTGTGTCCAAATGAGTCTGATATTTCTGCTGCTCCTATGTTCCATTGCATTAGCAAATTAAAGTGAAATATATATGGGACACATCAGCCAATCAGAGGGCATCAAACAGACAAACAGGGAAGAGATAAGTATGCATGAACACTCTCATGCAGCAGACATAAGCAAATAACACAAGAGAACCTATGCATGGATAATTAGAACATGTATAGAAAGTATGGAGTTTGTTTTATGTAAGGCGAATGTTTCATGACTGAAAATGTTTAAACATCCAAAATAATTGGTTCCGGGTTTTATTACCAAGCTAAGAAAAACAGTAATACCTGTAGACCAATCCTTTGGAGGACTAAAGGGCAGATGGTGTTACTTATTAAAACACAATATTTGTGACTGTTTTGCACCATTTAGGAGATGAATGGTGATGATTTCCCTGGAATCTCACTGTTATGCAGCAGCATGTCTCTGAAGTGGGACTACATGCACACACAGCTCTCATAGAGCAGAGATGGGGACTCGAGTTTGTGACTCGTACTCGAGTCGCACTTAAGTTGCATATTTAATGACTTCAGACTCGACTTAGACTTGCATTTGAAGGACTTCAGACTCGACTGAGACTCGTGATTTCTGACTTGTGAACAATATTTTATTTCTAAGTGTTTTTTGTTGTACTAACTTGACTGATCGCCGCTCGCCTTACCCGCACACAGCAGAGGTAAAAAAACAAACAAAAAAAACCGGCAGAGTGGCTGTCAAAAACATATGCCCGCGCGCCCGTGCGCATGCATGCATGATCGACAAGTCAAGCTTTAAATACTTCATGGCAGTCATAGAGGAGAAATATGTTGTGAATAATGTTGTGAATTGGCACTAAATAAATAAACTGAATTCAATTGAAAATACTGCCTGCCGAGTTGGTTCTGTCTGTTCCAGGGCATTAAGTAACAAAAAGTTATTGCCACAATGTTTCTTTTATGAAAGAATTGTTATTGTCCTGGTATTTATTTAGGGTTTTTCTTTATCTGTTGTAGTTGCTAACTTCATATGTATTAATAAAAGGCAGGATTGTGATTGTTTTTTTTTTTCACAGTCCTCATTTTCACTTAAAAATAAAAGAGCAGACATTTACTCCTAAAACTAGAAAAGGTTGTAACCACAAATGTCAGGTAAATACTGTAAGAAAATTGTTGTTTTTGAAAGAAAAAAAAATAAAGATGCAAAATTTAACTGGAAAAAAATTTGCGTGTGCTTTTTTTAATTGTGTTTTTCATTTACCAGTTCAAGATAATGATCATTTCATAGATATAATAGCGACCTTTAAGCTATACCGTCTCAGTGACAGAGATGAAAACACAAGGAGAAACAGGAAAACACAAAAATTATTGCACTTATTTTAATTAATCAAGTGATTAGAATTTATTGTGCGATTAATTGATAATTGCGACAGGCCTTCTCAAGACTTCAGACTTGACTTGGACTTAGGCTCTCAAGACTTGAGACTTGACTTGGGCTTGAGCTCTCAAGACTTGAGACTTGACTTGGACTTGCAAAAAATGACTTGCGAACATGTCTGTCATGGAGTATCTGAACTCAGGAATATAAGGATGAACTCAGGATGGTTTAACAAAACTCTGTTTCTATCTTCAAATGTACAACTACCAGCAGATCATTCAGCACTGCTCCTTTAGAAAATTACTGGATTTTTCTTACTTTCTACAAATGTCTGGGAATTTACGCTGACATTTGAAATTATTTTTCTCTGGATTGTATTATGAGAAATGATATTCACCTTAGCATGTAATTTCTTAGACGTATACAAATATTCAAATATTCGATATATATTTAAAAAAAGGTTTTTAAAACAAGGATAAAGAGATGCCTCCAGTGATTAGATGAGTATTAACAAAATAAAACTTAATGCTATTTTAGGAAATACATGAGGTAAAACAGCTGATGTAGATAATTTTTTCAAGATATAGTGGTGGACTGGACTACACCATCACACCTGGTGAAAAAAAACTGGTTATTAGTGTAAACCTTCCCAGAATTATTCTGACTATTTTCTAGTTATGTTAGTTTCAAGTTTCAAAATCTTAGCTATGATAGAAAGAAAGATTTTCATATATTTCTTTTCTGTCTTTACGTAAAGTGAGAAGTTCCTTCCTGGTTAGTTCCACCCTTTTTTTTGACTGGCTAAGAGCAGCTCCACTATGCCATCTCATCTCTGCTGCCATGCCTTTAGGTTGTCCTTAAATGCCTCATTAAGTTCCTGAAATGCAGCAGTGAAAGTGTTCTCCCATACTCCTTTTGAACTGCCGAAAATGGAAATTGTTACTGCGGAGTTGTTACATAATTACAATAATGTATAGACTTAGCTGAATGTGTGACAGAAGCAGAAAAAGAACCAGTTCTGCTTGGGGCTGGTGAGCCGAGTCAGTTCATGAGCACCATGCTTGGATACTTATATAGAAAAAAACTAAACCAACACAAATACCACAGGTCAATCATGGACACAGTATAAGTAGCTGTGGATGCAGACACCATTTTCTCTGCACAAAAGACACATAATTCCTCCTATTTTGGTTGTAAGCTATTTAGATTCTATTAGAACATTTAATAAAAGGGGACTGATTGCATTTTGTTTCTTTGCTCTCCTCTTGGCTCATAGCCTCTTGTAACAACTTCACCAAGTCTGTTGTTGTATTAATGAACAAGTACGCCTGTGCCCCAGAATCGCATCCAGCTGGTCAAACCATTGTTTTTTTTCTGTGGTTTGACCCACTGTTATAAGCTGGTCTTCCAGCCTCTTGTATTTCTGTTTAAGCTTCTATAGCTTGTCTTAAGCAGACAGCCTTGCTCTAATTTTGGTAGGTGTCTGTTGTTAGATGTCAATGACTCAACATTGTGCTAAAGGTGCGTAACAACCGCCCTGTGCTCGCGCCACAGGGTAACTACGGAAAGCGTGAACGATCAAATGTTAGCCTGGATGGATGGATGGGCCTGTCAAATGCTGTTCCCCCCATGTTAAGCAAGGGAAACGCTATCTGACGTGGTTTATAGGCCTGTCAGATAGCCTTCCCCCCTGATGTCATTTATATTGAGTTGCAATAAATGCAAAACTCTCTGCAGGTTCTTGTCTTTGTCGTCCACTCTAATCAGCTGGCTTTTAAAACACACGGCGAGAAGGTGGGGGCCGGGTGGTGAGGGTTACGGGGGCAATAGTTACTTTTACTAGTAATTTGTTACTTTTATTGTGGAGTAACTCAGTTACTTTTTGAGAGGTAACTAGTTAATATAACTAATTACTTTTTCAAAGTAATGTGCCCAACACTGATAACTAACTGGTCTGCATAAAATAACGAGAGAAAAAAATGATTTTTTTTCTAGTACATTTGTATACATGTTTAAGCCAGAATGATTTGACATTTAAATATGACTTCCCTACGACTTTAAAAGAAAGCAGAATGAAAACAACATTTCTGAATAAACATAACTAAGACTGGTGCTGCATCTACAGTAGTCTTTCAGGCTTGAGTAGCCAGCGTCATCATTAATTGGAAGGAACAGAGCAGTGACACTATATCATCATATTCAGGAGTAAAGTATTCAAAGCATGAACCCGCCCAAAGCTGATAAACTGGTTATAAATCACCTCCTCTCACTGTTCATTCAGCTGCAGATTGACTCCAGAACTCTACAAGTAAAATTTTATGATGTTTGCTCCTTGGTCTCTGAGTCCAGAAGGACAACATGATTGTAGATTCCTAAGTATTGGAGCCATAAGTTTGATGCTCTTTTCCCCTCTGTAATCCACTTGATGGCAGAAAAAAATTAATAATACTACAAACATACAGGATGCTCTTCTTTAGGTACCACCATTTAATTCATAAATCAAAAGGATACAAGTAGGAAATTTCCATAGGAAATAAAATAATAAAAGGAGAGTAGGAGAAATGTAAATAAGATGGAAAAAAAATGTTTGGTTCAACTCCAATTACACGACTAACACCGAAGCAGAAGCCACACCCCTAAACATCCCAAAACTAGCTAATAGCAACAAACTGCAAATTAACTTCGGTACAATTAGAAATATTAAATATCCTTACAAAGAAGAACCTTTTACTTTCTAATAAATAACGTAATTTTTTAATGATTCATTTTCAGTCAGTGTTTTATTTGAAAAACACCTCTTATTTATTACTCAGATAAGTTTGTTTTTTTTTTATTGAAAAATACGTTTCTTCTTTGGTACATTATTCACTGTTGTGAACTTGTTCTAAACCTTAACATTCAAATTTTACCTTACATTCCTATCTGATTTAACTTTTTAACCTTTTGTATGAGTAGCCCTCTTGTAACAGTTATTTGTCTGATTATATATTGTCACACCAGTAAAAAGTCAAGTTTGACCCTTTGTGGTTTATCTTCTTTCATAGGCAAATTGGCTTATCATTACAATGGTCCTCTATACCATATACTGTGGTAAACTAAATTAAGAGCTATCACCGATTTCTTGACACCCGTTTGTCAGGAAATTCTCAATGAGTATTTATATTGGTTCTGATGAAGCTTTCTCAGTTTTAAAACATTGGAAGACACATTTGTCTATCCTCAAACAATTGCTCACCTGCCTGTATTACCAAAAATAAAAATACAACATGCAAGCAGAACACGGGACAAAATAAGCTATTAGTAGAGATCAGAAAAACTCTTATGTTGCTGACACCCTTGGACAGGTGTATAAGCACTGGCTGATAAAGCCACCTCATCCTTTCAAATGAAGGACAGGGTAGAAAATGCCATTGGAGTAACAATGTGGAAAAGAAAGCTGCGAGCGAACTTCATTCATCAAATCGCTTGTTCTGATCACTTGCCTTTTAATAAAAAGTGCATAAAAAAATGTAAACAATACCCTCAAGTTCATCTTTATAGTATAGGAACTCTATAGGAGTTTGAAAGCTTGCATAATGGGGGGGGGGTCCCCAAATTCCTGGCTGCACCCCCCCGTCTTACTTGCCACAACCCCTTGAAGGACCAAAACTAACTATAATAAGCCATTTGCTGATGAAGGTTCTCAGTCATCTTTCTGTAAAAATATCCACTGGACTTCGTTTCCAAGATTTGAAGACGTTTCACCACCTCTCCAGGAAGCTTTCTCAATTCTAATGTGAATTAGTTTTGCATCAGGATTTCAGTAAAGACATATTAGATCATTATATATATATACTCAATAAATTATATTTATTTTCTCTGCATGTAGAATAGAGAACAGACACTGTCTCACTTTTGGATAATTGCAAACTGGACCTTAATATGTTCAATGGATTAAAATTGATGGAAGATCATGGCCCTTAGATGAGGTGTGTGGCTCTGAAAAGAGCCGTTGGGTTTGCGGTGATGGAGCAGAGGGCTTTACTTGGAGCTGGTGTACTTGGTGACAGCCTTGGTGCCCTCAGACACAGCGTGCTTGGCCAGCTCACCTGGCAGCAGGAGACGCACAGCGGTCTGGATCTCCCTGGAGGTGATGGTGGAGCGCTTGTTGTAGTGAGCCAGGCGGGAGGACTCGGAGGCGATGCGCTCAAAGATGTCGTTGACGAACGAGTTCATGATGCCCATGGCCTTGGAGGAGATGCCGGTGTCAGGATGGACCTGCTTCAGCACCTTGTACACGTAGATGGCGTAGCTCTCCTTCCTGCTCCTCTTCCTCTTCTTGCCTCCTTTAGCGGCGCTCTTGGTCACGGCTTTCTTGGAGCCCTTCTTAGGGGCGGACTTGGCGGGTTCAGGCATGTTGATCCACTCGAGTTGAAGCAACGAATGAGCTGCCGGGGAGGACAAGCTGTTCTTATACAGCAGCCATGGAGAAAGAGCTACAGCAGCACTTGGCTGTGATTGGATGAGCCGCTCAGTCTGGGTGGAGCTGGAGAACAAACCACGTGACTTTTTCAAACGTTGCGCTCAGTGGGACAATAGAGGGAAAAGAAAGGCGGGAAACAACCAGGAAAGAATAACACTGGTGCTTTATGTAGATGTTTTCTCACCTAAATGAATATTCGAGTTGAATAAAATTATAAAATCAGAAAAAGAATCAGTGATATAAAGTTTCATAAAATCATATATTTCGATTTCAGGTGAAAACAAGTTTCAGCTTTAATGATTTTCCACTCCTTCTGTAGTTCAGGTAGATGTTTGGATTTTAATTGATTGAGCTTCAGGAAGTTTATACATTAAAGACCTAAAATTATGTAAAGCAGTCAGAATAAAGATTATATTGCAGCATTTGTCCAAACTGCAAGGAATTTGGGGTAAATATCACGTAGGCAGTTGAGATATAAGAAAAAGGTCTGTGAATAATTTTATTTGGAGCCTTTAATAAAGGAGACTTCAATCTGGTTTCAATGGATATAATACTTGATTAAATGGAGCCAAATCCTGTCCTCGCTGAAGATAAATGTTTCCCTTACATTGGTGTAACAATAGATGCCAGTAAAGAAAAAAGATTTAAAGCGAAAACAGCTTTAATGATTTTCCACCCATTCCATAGTTCAGGTAGATGCTTCGAACCAGATTCAGAAATTTGTTATAGACACTTTATAGACACTTTAGATGAAAAGGGGCGTGGAGTACTGCAACAGCATTTTGTTCAGTACACAAGGCAACCATGATTAAATACAAATCTATTTGCCCGTCATCGTCTCATTTGAGAATTAAAATAGACACATTAAAGTCGTTGGATATGGTTTCCTGAACAAGTAAAGCAAAATTGTAATGGGAATCGTGTTCTTAACCAGCAGGTTGGCGGCCCTGAAAAGGACCTTTGTTTAGTTTAGAGAAGCGGCTCAGTTTAACCTCCAAAGCCGTACAGGGTGCGGCCCTGTCTCTTCAGAGCGTACACCACATCCATGGCGGTCACAGTCTTCCTCTTAGCGTGCTCGGTGTAGGTGACGGCGTCCCGGATGACGTTCTCCAGGAAGACCTTCAACACGCCGCGGGTCTCCTCGTAGATGAGACCGGAGATGCGCTTGACTCCACCGCGGCGAGCCAGACGGCGGATAGCGGGCTTAGTGATTCCCTGAATGTTATCACGGAGAACTTTACGGTGACGCTTAGCGCCTCCTTTACCGAGTCCCTTACCTCCCTTTCCTCTGCCGCTCATTCTGACTGTCTCTGCTGAGTAACAAAGAGAAAAATGGCGTCCAGCTGCTGCTGTTGGCCTTTGTCTATGAACTGCGGACGTAGAAGGAGCCGTAAACAGCTGTAGGAAGCGGTTTAAAAAATGTCTGTATTTGTTATATTAATCCTTTTATTGTAAATTACGCATTAAAGAGCAGTGTAATCGATGTGTGGCATGTTATATTTCATATATCAATAAAAATTATCTCAGTTTAAAATACATTTGATATCCTTTACACATGGTATGTAATGTGGATGTGTGGTAATGGGGAAACTTAAAGTTTTGTGGATATGGTTGCTTATTACCTTTCCATTAATGATAATTTTTAGGGGTTCTGATATATTTGTTTAACAAACCTAAGGGTGTAACTTTGCGATAAAAGATGATGGGGACGCTCTAATGATGGTGGTTGATGGACCTGCAGTTACTTAACCCGAACGTTTTCAATAGGGTTTGTATTTCCCAAAAATGAGCTCAAACATGTATTTATTGAATACTTTACTATTGTTGATAACACAAGAGTGCCAAAATAATTTTTTTTTATATTTACAGTTACAGACAGGTGCCTGCCTTTAGTGCATTATTTACACAAAGGGCACAAAAAAATGAATGTATAAAAAATGAATAACAGCCAAAACCAATGCCAACATCAAAAGATCATTCATCCCTAGTATGGACACAGCTTCAGTTATTATAGCGTTGCATATTTTTTCTTGTAAATTTAGAGATATATTTTATTGCATGGTGGATATCCCAGTAAATCTGTCTCATTTAACAATATAATGATGCCAGAGAAAATAATTTAAGAGATCTAGAAGCTCTGCAGTCTAAATCTCTGTTCACATATATGTTAATTTAATTCTGTAACTCTTTAATGGTCCAGAAGCCCAGCTTTTTTAACTCAACTGTACAATCTGCTGCCATTTTAGCTGAACTAACTTTTTCGGTGGCATCTTTAATTTTTTCAAACAACCAGTCTCCTAACACTTATCGGAGTAGCTGCTGCGAATTTATGTTAATTTGGCTTGCCAACCTGGTCAGACGGAACAGACTGTATGTGAATACAGCTTGCCCGGCATGTCTCAAATCGACAGTTCCTTTACACTTTATATTTTTTACAGTACTCTCCTTTAAGCCCGCCGATTTACCCTCATCTGCTATAAAAGTGCATTTTTGTCTCTCAGATTAACCAGTAATGTATTGATGAAGGCAGCATGGAGAGTTTCAGCTCTTAAAGCTGAGTGTGTGGCTCTTAAAAGAGCCGTTGTGAGGCTGTGTCCAGCAGCAGCAGCGGCTTGGTGGCTTTACTTGGCCTTAGCGGCCTTCTCGGTCTTCTTGGGAAGCAGCACCGCCTGGATGTTGGGCAGCACGCCGCCCTGAGTGATGGTGACTCCGCCCAGCAGCTTGTTGAGCTCCTCGTCGTTGCGGACAGCCAGCTGCAGGTGACGGGGGATGATGCGGGTCTTCTTGTTGTCGCGGGCAGCGTTTCCAGCCAGCTCCAGGATCTCAGCGGTCAGATACTCCAGCACAGCAGCCAGGTAGACGGGGGCTCCGGCACCGACTCTCTCCCCATAGTTGCCTTTGCGCAGCAGCCTGTGAACACGGCCCACTGGGAACTGGAGCCCGGCTCTGGAGGAGCGGCTCTTGGCCTTAGCTCTGGCTTTTCCTCCGGTCTTTCCGCGGCCGCTCATTGTTACAGATGCTTTCTAGAGAAACGTTGCTAGAAAAATGCTCCAGTAGGAACCTGAGCTGGTTTATATGATTGCAGAGAGCGGCAGACTGCTGCTGACAACCAATCAGAGAAGCTTCCAGCAGAGGCGGGCTTTTTCAAAGCAGCTTCCTCCAATCAGCAGCGAGCATTCAGCAGGGAGCTGCCTCCTCTGGGCGGCGCTGAGCTCCAGGAGGAGCCGCTGCCCAACCAGGACCCGCAGCTCTGCAGCGTCACTCTCTGACGCTCAGAGCCGCAGTTTATCAGCAGCGGAGATGGACTATGTTCCTTAAATGTAAAAAAAACAACCAAACAACCTAAAAAAAAAAAACAAAAAAAAAAAAAAAACAATCCACTGTACTTAGTTTACAATTTTAAAGACGTCTAATTGCGATCCAGGAGGATTTTTCACTTAAAAATCACAGAATTATTTGAAATCATAGGCGTTTTTAGCCCATCTTAGGTAGTACTGAACCACCCCTGAATAGAATCAAAGAACCCCTAAAATCGAAGTTGTTTATTAGACTGTAAGGGGGTACAAAAAAAGTAATAAAAAGTGTAAATTCTATGAAATTCATGACATTGACTTTTAAATTGTGGTTCAATATAAATATTAATAGTAGACAAACAAAGAATCAAGTAAACAAGCATTATGGAGCTCGTATTGTGTTGAGCAACACTGAGTGCAATCAGGTATTTTCTAAAATCTTATGTTCATGGTGGAGAATCCTGCTTCACAGCAGCAGGTTTTCCCCAGTTCACTGCAGTTCTTCCAGCAGTCCACATTTTCTCTGCTCTCTTTTTCTCATCGTCTTCTCCTTCTTTCCTATCGTCCAGCTTGCCACAGGTTTACCTGCTGTGTCTAAAAGTAGCAGCAGCAGCAACCCAGACTGACAGCAGCTCATTGGCTAATGTGTATCACGTGTAGCCTGGTGCCGGACGATCTGGACGGCTTTACTGTATTAACAGGAGAAGCGGCGCAAGAGAAGTTTGAAACTGTCATCAGACAACATGCACTAATTTACAAATGTTTTAAATCTGGTTGGGTCCGGATTAGCCAGCAGGTGGGTCCGGGTCCAGACCGCGGTCCGCTAATCCGTGACCCCTAGCCTAGGTCCATAATTCTTTGGGCAAATCAGTCTGTATCAACATACACCTAACACACACCGTATCAAACCATGTTCTCCAGCTCCTATCAGCTGCTCCACTTCAGTGTGGGGAGTATGGTGTTTTACAAAACTGCACCATTGTCTTAGTCCTTTAAGATCCATTGGACATAGGGTTAGAGTTTAATTGTCATACTTCCCTTACTGTCCCTTCTGGCCACAAATTAACAGTTTCTTCTTTGCCTTAACATTCCTTGTTCACAAAGCTATTTGCTTCCTGCGCTCTCCTTACTTCTCAGCCTTACTTTGAAGTGACCAAGCATTAGTTTGTCATCATTGCTTTGGATAAATATGCACAGGATTTTTGCAACCGATACGGATTACTGCCGATCACTTGGACTAGCTGTTAATTTAGGTAGAAACGCTGTAACTTGACATGCGGTGTTGTGCAAGTTTACTAGAATATTATGAAATACTTAGAAATGGAAGTTATAGTTAATTAATAGGTCATTCAAATCGAAAGGTAAAAGTGATTTATTATTAGTTGATTGACTGTCATTTGCTTATTTACCATGGTTCTTAGACTTTTACACAAAAGGATGGACTCCTGAATCCAGCTGTTTAAATCCAGTTGCTTTCACCAATTCAGTAATTTAGACTATGGCAATCACTGAGTTATTAATCACCAACCAAATAAATGTTTCTCTGTTCGTTAGGATTCTACTGAAAGAAGAGCGAATCCAGTCTGAGTAAAATAAACACTAAAGTCAACGGGTTAAAATACAATGGTACCTTTATTAGCCAATAATCGCACAGTATTATTGTATCTAATCACTAAGCAAACACTAAATACTATTGAAAATAGGCAAAAGTAAAGCAAATAAAAGGGGAAGAGAGGTTGTAAGCAGCCACTGTCGGAGCTGAACAGTGTTACATCTCTGAAATATTTAAGCCTCAGTTGCACGGTCGAATATTCACAGCAATCGGTGGAACCCAAAGTCTTTCACTGCTGATCCTTTAACCTTAACCCGATTAATAAGTCCTTCTTTGTTTTGTTTATTCCTGAACATCATGCTCATTGAGTGTAATTGTGCATTGCTTCAGATAATAAAGTAAAAAATCTTGTTGTTATTTTTGATCAGGACGTGTCATTTAAATCCCATATCAAAGAGGTTTCTAGAATTTCCTTCTTTGATCTGCGGAATATTGCAAAACTTAGAAATCTCCTGTCCAGGGGTGATGCTGAGAAACTAATCCAAGTATTTGTTACTTCAAGGCTGGACTAATGTAATTCTCTCCACAAGCTGTAGTTAAAAGCCTTCAGCTGATCCAAAATGCTGCAGCCAGAGTTCTGATGAAAATTAAAAAGAGAGATCATATCTCTCCTATCCTGGCTTCTCTTCATTGGCTTCCTGTTAAATCCAGAATAGAATTTAAAATCCTCCTCACATATAAAGCCTTAAATGGCCATCTTATATCAGAGATCTGATTGTTCCTTATGTTCCTAACAGAGCACTTCGCTCTCAATCTGCAGGTTTACTAGTGGTTCCTACACACTCTGTCTACTTTTAAGGCTAGGCTTAAAACTTTCATTTTTGATAAAGCTTAAAATTAGAGTGGCTCAGGTTACAGTATCCTGAGCTATCTCTATAGTTATGCTGCTATAGGCTTAGACTGCTGGAGGACATAGGGACCCCCATTTCATCATTCTGCTTCTTTCTATCTCTATTCTCTGCAGAATTTTATACTTCAACCTCTAACATTATGCTCTCTCTGCTTTTTCTCATAGTAGCTTCATCTAGTCTGTTCCTGTTTGGCTGTGACTCCATCCTGGAGAGAAATATCACCTGTGCTGCTGCCATCAACACCTTTGTTTATAGATGTTGGAGATCGGCCTGTTTTCCAGTTTAGTCCTGTTTCTCTCACTGTGACTGGCTGGATGTGCTCTCTTCATCCTCTGACATGGGAGCTGGCTCAGAGCTTGTCTGCCTGGCTGTGTGTTTCCTGGACGGGGCGGCCTTTTACAGTTGCTTTTTGTATCTCTGCTTCTGTCTCCTTGAACCCCAGTCGGCCTGCTGGAGGTTTCTTCCTGTTAAAAGGGGGCTTTTCCTCTCCACTTTCGCTACAAGCATGCTTAGTGTGAGGGATTGTATTCGAGTCAATGAATCGATGCAATCAACTGGTTTTCCTTGGACAGAAAACAATCACTTTGACTGTATGATCTGGTAAACTGTAAAGTGCCTGGAGATGACAGGTGTTGAGAATTGGCGCTATATAAATAAACTGAATTAAATTGCTTTACCGGTGAAATTTATTTATTTTTTTTTGCAGTGTGCCTTGAAAAGTCATAACACATCAGCAAACACTTTTTTGATGACACATATTCAGTGTATTGATGCATTTTGATGCTTCACCTCAGAAGAAATTTTCCATTGCAAGACTCAAACGTCACATTACTCTCATGGGACAAAGTATCACATGATAATGCTTTAAATTTGCTGCCGCGCTGCACAGTGTGAAGGACGGAGGGAGATGTGAACAAGGCAGTGCATCTACAGCCTGCAAAGTGAGAGATACAGGCGATCATTTTTTATGGGTAACGAAAGATGTTGATCGACGATCAGCAATCACACGCTTTTGTAATGTGATGGGTTTTTCAAACACAGCGGTTTGACATAGTATTCATGGCTTAGTCGTTTTACCTCCAGTGTGGATTCTCATGTGTCTTTTTAAGGATGATTTAAGGTTAAAACATTGTCCACAAATATCACAACTGAAAGGTTTCTGTCCCGTATGGATTATCATATGTCTTTTTAAGTGTTCTTTCTGGCTAACACTTTGCCCACAAAGATCACAACTGTAGGGTTTCTCTCCCGTGTGGATTATCATGTGTCGGTTTAAATGGCCTTTCCAACTAAAACTCTGTCCACATAGATCACAATAGAATGGTTTCTGTCCTGTGTGGATGAGCATGTGTTGGTTTAAATAGCCTTTCAAACTAAAATTTTGTCCGCATAGGTCACAACAGAACGGTTTCTGTCCTGTGTGGCTTGTTGTGTGTTTTTTTAAGTGTTCTTTCTGGCTAAAACTTTGTCCACATAGATCACAGGAGAAAGGTTTCCGACCTGTGTGGATCCTCATGTGTCTGTTTAAATGCGATTTTAGGGAAAAACTTCGTCTACATAGATCACAACTGAAAGTTTTCTGTCCTGTGTGGATTCTAATGTGTTGGTTTAACAGGCCCTTCCGACTAAAACTCCGTCCACAAAGATCACAAGTGAAAGGTTTCTGTCCTGTGTGGATTAGCATGTGTTGGTTTAAAATACTTTTAGCAGAAAAGTATTTTCCACAGTCTTTACAGCTGAAACTTAACTTCTTTTGCACATTCTTCTGTGAGTTTGCATTTTTCTTTTTTGTGAGCGGCCTCTCATTATCCAGGGAGTGTGAAGATACCATTTCTGAATTTTTCATGTCTTTTTGAAGAGAGATACTCTGAACAAATTGTTCAGCACACTCAGAGGAGCCAGACGGATTGTTGGACATGTTTGTCTCTGACTCAGGAACTGTAACCATCTTCCAGTCACTCTCCATGTCCGTCTTTATCATCACAGAGGCTGACAGGTGTTTGGCCTCAGAGATGGAGAGCTCTGCATCGTTTTCCTCCTCAGTCTTTAAGGAAATGGAGCCATCTTTATGATCTTGTATCGTCATGGATTCTTCCCTTCCATCATTCTCTACTGGAAGCTCGTCTTTAATGTGTTCTTCATAAAGCTGTGAGAGAACAGAGGATTGTTTATCATCCTCACTCTTTATAGGAGCAGCAGTGATCGGAAACTCCATGGCATCAATCTCCTCTTTTGGATGGAGCTGCTTTCCCTTCAGAGTGGTGCAGACCTCCTCCTGTTCCT